GAGAGAGAGAGAGGTGGTGGTTCATCTCGTCCGCCACTAGTTCTTTAGCAGCTAAGAATGGCGGGGGTGGTTGTCCCCTTGGGGGGGTGGGTGAGTGCCCCAGCCGAGCGCGACGGATGCCACAAGAACCCCAGCCGCGCACATGCCAACCATCCTACTCCATGGGAGGTCCACCGCCTCTGATAAGACTGCTACCACCCTACAACTCATATAATTTATATACACATCTATAGACAATACACAGCCTATTTATATTACAGCTCTGTCTCAGTGAACTCAGCGACGCACATCAGCATCACTCGAGCTGTGACTCCTGACATGGAACCCTCAACGCCTAGCTATAATTTTTCATTACAGGCTCCTCTTTGTGGTTGATAGCTTGTCTCAAGTATGTTATGATCTCATCACATCGGAGAGTAAATACTCATTGGACGTTCATCAACGATTGAATTGGCCATTATGAGATGTCTTACTTTAAAGGAAGAAGCCTAAAAATCTCTTTACAAAAAGAAAAGAAAGATTTTGGAAGGTTCATCGAAAATAATAAAGTATTGTGTTGGAGGACATATTAAGCTCATTGGATCTCACAAAATTTTGTTCTGACTATCAGTGGTCTAACATTATTTTTATATTTTTTTTCATACCAATTTGGCATCAAGGTCAAATGATAAATAAATATTATACAGTGAGAGAATAGGACAAATTGAAAGCTCATGATCAACCATCTAATATAATTCATTATTTTTTTATTCGGATTTAGAATCGGCATCGATACTGTTACTTTAAGAGTCTCACCTTCAATCCCATCTTTTGCCATCTCAAAATGTTGACCTCTATCTAGTTCTTACACAACTGTTCCAAGCTAAACATGCTATATGACTCGGTGAAAGACACGCCAGACAGATACGTCTCCTTTTTTCCTTCCAGTAATTTACTGAGCTTGGCATTTGATTTAGCTTCTCAAGCTTGGAGTTATGGTCCCCATCAAGTTCGATGAATGCTTCAACTCCAACCCTCTTCCAATGATACCCATTTCCATAGTGTTTAAACTCTGTTGTAGGGGTTGCAAATGCACATAAAATACAAAGAAAGAGAGGCAGTATTTGTAAGCTGTGCTTCTCTCTCATAGTTTATAAAGGCAAGGCCAGTTTGGTCACTAGGATCACATGTTCCTTCCTGCAATCTCCTATAGGGAGTAGTCCTCTCTCTCTCTCTCTCTCTCTCTCTCTCTCATCAGTCACACAAGAAGAACACACACTCCCACCACCTCACATGCTCACAAGGGAATTCCAGTCTACTTTAATTAAAGCCCTGATGGGGAATCTTTGGGAGGTGGTGGAGTCGGTGGCCTTCTTGTAAAACCTCTCAACTGCTTAAAGGAAAAAGAAGGGGAGCAAACCAAAAAGAAAAGGGAAAAATCTCACCTTTCTCACAGTTTCTTCCTCACACCCTATTCTTTCCCTTCTTTATCCTCTCTCTCTCTCTCTCTCTCTCTCTCTCTCTCTCTCGTACACACACACACACATCCTTTTCAGCTCTGGTTTTCCCCTGCATTCGTTTGTGGTCTGGGGAGCCGCATGGAGCTTAGCATCGAGCGGGAGGAGAGGGGGTAGGGTGCCGTCGGAGAATGAGAGAAGGCTTCAAAGATGGGCAATTGCGGAACCAGAGAGGAGAACGCCGTCGTCGCCGCTCACGCGCAAGGTGACAGCTTTTGCTTTCCCTTTCCCCAAAATTCCTTTCTTTTTGGACCTGGTTGCTTTCCCTTGTGCTTGTTGATCGGGATTGAGACGTGGTCGTCGTTTTGTTCGGATAACGGACCGGATTGCTCGAGAACGGCATTGCGTCCTTTGATTCTGGTCAAAGATATGATTTTTCCTTGGGGTTTTGCCGGTTCTTGCTGGCATTGTTGTTCGGATCTGACGGATGGAACGATTTGAGGTTCTGGTACGGTTGGATCTTGTTGGTGGAATCAACATAGTGAGTTAATTTCTCAGTGATTTATGTTTCCTCCTTTTGTTTTAATGTACGTGCTTCAAATTTTCTCTTCCTTTGCGATGCGGCATTCGGTACTTTTTTGGTACTTCGTTTCTTTCGGTTTGTAAAGTAATTTCTATGGCATTGTTTTTCAGTTAGTCTGTGACAAATACTTGCTCAGTTTAAGTTTTCGCGGAGAAAGGAGCGAGCTTTATTCACTGTAAATTAGTTTATGTGCTGGAATGATTTAATTCAAGTAGATGATTTGCATTTTGAAACCTTCTTTGTGCAGTTCAGCAGCTCCAGATATTCCAGATACCTGTTAAGAATGCTCCTTCAGAGAAGAAACATGCTCGCACCTCTTCCGACATAAGTGACCCCTCAACCCCTCGGCACATTGAGGATTCGAGAAACATCGCAATATACACTGATGTGATTGCGTTCACTTTGTTTGAACTCGAGACAATTACAAAGAGCTTCCGTCCAGACTATGTTCTTGGTGAAGGAGGGTTTGGTACTGTCTACAAGGGTTATATAGATGAAAATGTGAGAGTTGGTCTCAAATCACTTCCGGTTGCTGTCAAGGTGCTCAACAGGGATGGTCATCAGGGACACAGGGAGTGGCTCGTAAGTTGGTTTTCCTTTTGTCTGCTATTTTCATTGTGGTAAAATAAGGTCCAGATCATTGTGTCATAAGCTTTAGTTCATTGACCATCTCATCAATGACTGCATTGACTTGATTCGTCTCCTCACTGAATGTGGAGACAAAAAGATGTATCTCTGTCCCAAGTCATCAAGCAAATTCAAGCCATATGCACCTTCATCATTAATTAGTCAAATGCTCCCCTTTGTTAATACCTGCCACTAACATTTGTAGAAATAAGGGCAAGCCTTTGGTATAATAGTAAGGTTATTTATTTGCAACCTCGAGACCAGGATTGGGGTTATAAAAACAATCTCTCTATCCTTAAACCCTGCAGTGGCGAGAATCTCGTGAACTAGATTTGACCTTTAAAACAAAAAGGAGAACTGTAGAACTATATTGAAATTTCCATTTTGAAATTTGGGGAAGTTAACCGACAAAAGTTGTCATATAATTCCAACGCTATAAGGTATGAGCATGTGCATGCAAGTCATTGAGTTCATATATGAGAAAGATCTGGGATGGCCCAACATATGAAGTCTTATCCATGTTAATTCTAATTTTTTGTTAATATGTTAGACCATTGTGAAAAGACAAACGATTCCATCCAATGGGTGCGACAAAGGCTTCTGGGTTAACCTCCATAAATGGATGTCCATTTTTGTGTTTTCTTTTTCAACAAGCATGAGGAACCTTTCAGCATAACTAAAGCAAAATCATTTAAGCTGTACCATATGCATGCTTGCATTGTATCTAAAAGATAATCTAGAATATTTTGTTAGTTCCAAGTTGTCTACTCAACATTTGTTATCTATGTTTTTGGTCACTCTGAGTTTATTTTTTTGACTTTGACTCGTATTCTTGTGTTACCAGACAGAGGTTAATTTTCTAGGACAATTGAGGCATCCCAATCTAGTGAAGCTGATTGGATACTGCTGTGAAGATGATCATAGACTGCTTGTCTACGAGTTCATGTTCCGTGGAAGTCTTGAGAATCACTTGTTTCGAAGTACATTACTCTGACATCATCTTTAGATTTATATGCGTCTTTGTTTCTTGATATGTACCTATTCACTTTGTTTAGAACTCTTTTGTTCCTTGCTGCAAGTTTAGCAATATTCTGATGTGCATAAGGAGTCATGTTTGTGATCCTCTTCATTCGTAAACTTCTGATGATCATAGTTCCTAGTTTCTAGTAGGACAGCGAGATCTAGAAATTCTTGGTAAAATTAGGCCAAAATTTTGTATGAAAATTATCATAAATCCAATGTCTAAGTGGCAATAAAAAGAAAAGTTAAGTGATGATCTGCTATATGAGTTGAAGACTCCTTGAAGATATAAAATGTGGAAACTATGACTAAAAGAAGCTAACTGTTTCTATTTGTTGTCATCTGATTATATGGATTTGTTTAGAATGATAAAAAGCTACATTTGGTATACCATTTTGATTTAGTGGTGCATGCATGTGATGGGTGTAAAGAATTAAGGTTGATACCCTTGACAACAAATTAGGCATTCGTGTTGATTAAAATTAACTTTGCAACAATAATATAACCTTTTGTTGGTTGTTTTCTTTATTGGTTATTAAAATTATGCTTGTACAGTGAGCTTAGATTATGGACAAGTACATAATGGTACAAAGGAGGTGTGACACACATGCATAACCATCAACAAGCTTGTTACCTCGAGCTAGGAAAGACATTGTTATTAACAGGGTCAGTTAAGAATCATCGTGTTGTTGGATACATATGTTACGAGGCACTTGACACAACCTTGGTTAAAATAACAATACATGTTTAATCAGGAACTAGCCTAATTTATTCAAATAATCTTTTGGCTCTCATTGGGCTTTGAGTGTCTTTATCAATTACCAGTAAGCTTCAAAGTTTTGGGTTGGTGATAGGCCAGTGTCTTTCAATGATAATGCATGTTAGCTAATTATCATTATTGTTGATATTATTAGGAGGCTAAAATGAAAACGGATCACATTTTCAGTCACATT